CACTCTTTCAAAGCTGCCTGAGTTTCATTACAATGCAGCCGTTTTGCCAGATGGAGATTGAACCTAAAGCATAATCTTTAGGTTAATGTCAGTGTACATGCAGTGGCAGTTTTTACCTGCTTTTGGCACATTGTGCTTGTACATGTTACAACTGAGGGTTCTCACTGGAGCCCTGCAACTGCAGTAGTTCTGACCCAAAGGAAATCTGCATGGCTTTTCTCTGGCAAACAGCAGAGCACATTCGAAAATTAATTGTCCATCACTCAAGCCAAAAATTAGCTAGTGTTGTAGGAGAAAACTGCAGTTCAGATGGGCTGAAAAGTGGAAAAACTTGTCCCGAGGTGAATTGTTACAGAGCAGCTCGTGTCTATGCTTGTTACAGACAGCATCGTCTGGATCGGACTGCTGCATGCACACTGCAGCTTTACCCTGTTGAGGTGTGGTGCATGGGGTGTTGAGGAGTGTTGAGGATCTTTGTCCTTAGTAGCATGACTTTTTTACACTTTTGTGACAACAGTCCCAATCTTAACTAAGTGCTGTCAATCTTCTAGACAGTGTTTTCAGTCTTAGTGCCCACTCTTCTCACAGGAGTCACTCACAAGATCAAGTTCACTGTATCGGCCTGTCCCCTGCAAAAGGCAGCATGTGAGATTTCTTTCACAAATTAATGAGATGTCATTAACTCACAACTCAGTAGTCATCTGTGTAGTCAACTGTCGACTATGGAATAAAGTGATCTGGACCAACCCACAGGTTGCTTTTGAAGTTATTTATCCACAGTATCAGGGTAAACCTTTCACCATTGTTTTATTTTTAAGTTTGAAATATCAACATGAACGGCAGAAAAATACCCTTAGCTATATGTGTCTGTGTAGCAGATCTGTATTTGATTCCCTCCTCCTAGATATGCAGCTTTAAAGACAGTGGGCAACTCACACCTATGTGAAAAGGAAAACTTGGTCACTGCAAGGGAGGAATCCTGACCTTATCGGTCACACATCCAGCCACAGTTCCAGCATATCCACAGTTCCAGCATATCCACAGGCCAATGCCAAGGCGAGCTCCGAAGATCACGCCAGCCCTCGCCCAGCTCCATGGGGCTCCATGCTGACTGAAGGAGGCAGCCAAATTGTCTGGGAGACCAGCTTGTGACATTTACTCTGAAAAGATCTCCCTTGTTTTTGTAACTCCAGACTCCTTCCATGAGATTTTACAGTTCTGTGAAGTGATGAGGACCTCATTTTGGTTTGAAGGTCATTTTAAATTACAGGAATTCTGTTTGGGGTTTGCTTGTTTCTTCCCATATTCTGAAAACAGACGCATTACTGTCTACCACCGCCCACCCTAAAGGTGTGTCTCCACCTCTCCTTGTTCTTCCTTTGTGGAATGCTCTTGTAGACTCATAGCGTACTATTATTTTATTTCAATTACACTCCAAGCAGAAGTGCTGTGGAGGGCATCAGTGGTCTCCTGGAGGGCTCGTTCCCCAAGAAGATGTAGTGGCACTGATGAGCCACAGGATTTTCTGCAGCAAATTCTGGACAAAATCGACCACTCTTTAAAAACAGCGCTTCCTGGCGAATGATGTTCAGTCAAATGGAAGACCTCCCGCCGTGTTTCACGGCTCACACTGCCCTGCTGCTACAAAGAGCAGCAACTGTGCCTGCTGAGTCGAGTCCTAGAAACTCACAGCTAATGCATCCAAAAATCCTCTTGAGTAACAGCTGATAGTTTAGAGTCCTTTACCCAAAGAGTGTGTTATTTAAGGAGAGTTGCGTATGTAACTTTATTTCAGGCGCCAAAGACAATGTTGTTTTCATGTTTACAGCATTAAATGCTCTGGCTTTGATATGACAAAAGCTTTATACGCTTCTCTTTGTTTATTAAGGGAACGGCTTTACTGACTGTAGATCAGAGACGATGGGAAGATCTGAAAAGCAGACTGAAGATAGCACAACCTCTTCATCTCCCACCTCGTCCGGGTATCAAAGATATTTTGATTTTTTTCATGTTGGGCCCTAGTGTTCATAGTTCCCCAGGAGTCTGTGATTCAAATTAAAATTGTAATCGTGAGGTCACTGGGAGGCTGTGCATACGTTAATGAGGAAACAGGCTCCAACTACAGATCTCTGCATAAGGCTATTAAAATCAACCCAAAAAAGGTTGTGCTTCGATGGTTTTAGGATAAGCCTTAATGATAAAAAGAATTTCTAAATGAAAAATATTTGCAGTTGGCTATTAATGATATGAATGGAATGTATTAACGTGACAGTAGTTGAATGATGCATTTGCCCTGTGAGTACCCAAGCCTTCATGCAACACTGGTGTTTGGTATTTGAAATTATGTGTTCAGAAGCCCTATTTGATATGGAAAATCGTAGCAGAAAATTAGAAATGTATTTTGAAACTCGTAAAGGATTATTTTGCCACTAGTGAACATGGAAAATATGTCAAGACATAGGGGGAAAATATCAGTGTGTATTTTAACTCTCCTCCTCAAACTTTTTCTTTTTCAGATAACGATGGCTTTAGAGCTAAGATGTATGATATAACTCAGCATCCTTTTTTTAAGAGAACTATTGCTGTACTTGTTCTGGCCCAGTCTGTGTTGTTATCAGTTAAGGTAATTGTGTCTCTTTTAATCGCTTCATTATGGTGTCGCACATTTCCTAACACCAATTAACAATCAGTTGACTCATTACTGTGATGAATGTATGGAAACATGATTTCCTTTTTGTAGTCTGTTCCACCATTTTTAATTTCCAATTAAGGTGTAGATCTCTGCGAGAAGAGTACACCAAGATGCCATTCTAGTCTGACTGTATTGTAAAGTGAAATCTATTCGTTATCAAAACCTGCAAGTAAAGTTAAGGCAATAAAGAGGCATTTAGTTCTGTTTAACAGTTATTCTTCTACAAACAGATTTCGTTTGCATTTCAGTGGGATGCTGCAGATCCGGTGACTGTGCCTTTAGCAACAATGTCCGTTGTTTTCACCTTCATTTTTGTCCTTGAGGTAAAGTAATGAATTTTATGACTTCCTGAGATTAAGACTATTGTGTACGTATTTCCTTTTTTCTTCAGGGATGGTGTCTTATTCTCCACTATGGTTATTTCTGAACATGTACATTTGGGGTTCTGCATATCACTTGTCTTTAAACATGTATTGTAGGAATAAACTTTTAATTTGTTGTAATGATACTTTTCCATCACCTTGGGCTTTGTGTCCTTTTGTATATATTCCACTCTGAGCATTTCAGCGTGTGTTATGGTGAACCCAATGAACTCTTTTCTGGCAGAGCATCTCAAATTAAATTCACTCTATGCAACACAAGATCTGTGTTGTATCATGGAAGTTCTGCTCAATCCGTTTGTATTTGACCTTGTACATCAATCCCCATTGTTCTGTAGCTGTAATATCATCAAATCTCTTTCAGTTTTGCTTTGATTTTTTAAGTATCATATTTAATTATAATTCCTCTTAAAAAGCTAGTCAAATTCCAGTATTGTCTATCTTTTGTTGCACAGATCTGGATCCTGTGTGGTAATGGGTCTATGAGAAAATTGTCACCACAGGCAACTGTGCAACATGTAATTAGTCTGGTCTCATAGGATTGGAATCTAAGGGCTTAAACAAATTTTTAAAAATATCTATTTTTTCATGTATAATGTTATCTGTAGTATGACAAAGCTAACATTTATGAGGTTATAGAAGATGCTTCCTCTGTGGTTGGATTAGTACATAATTCTTTTATAAGTTTGTGGTTGAATATTTTAGTTTTCAGTCTCCTCTGAAGAGCTGATACTGACCACTATCAGAAACAGGATAGTGCACTGCATTTCCCAGTGCTCTAATCCAGTATGGCAGTTCCTATGTTCCAGTGATCGGGTTTGCCAGCAGTGATGAATAAACAATAAGGTGAATACCTTGTAGGATCTGTAGCTAGAGTATGTCCATGTTGTTACATCTTTTTTCCCTACCCAGGAGAAATGAGTATCTCTTGAGAGACCGAACAAACACGAAGAAGTCTGATTTGTGGCGTACACAGACAGGTTTTAATTTACCTAGTAACCATGTCTTTGGAAATACTTTTTTTTCTATTATACTGCCAGGGGAAACAGATACGCTTCTAAAATTTCAAAGGAACTTTGTCAGAGCCAAGAAAAAAATGTTGATTGTCGCAACAGGCAAGCTATCACACTGTGAGTGCACATGATTTATGGAGAGAGGATGCAGCTTCCTGCCCAGGATCTTCCCTAATGCAGCATAATCTGCTTGCAGAGTCTGCTATGTACATGATCTGCTACCACTACCAGACATGATCCATGAGGGAGGTCGAAGTTTTCTGCATAGCTCATGGCGCAGTGTCTAGTCTAAGGGCTCCTGATACAGTCTTAAACCTCAGCTGCTCACATCAGTGTGTGTGCTGTAGAAGAACAGGGAGAATTGGGAGATCTGACTTTTGTGTCATCACATTGATGGTCACAGTATAAAGTGAGTTGTGATTTGTTTATCTGCACAGTGTGGTATTCAGTTCAAGATTATAGACGCCTGAACTTAAATGTTTAAATTCTACATGTGAGGTAGGTGTTTAAGCTGTCACTGTGATCAAGAGAGATGTAGGGTGAGATTCAGTTGCCTAAATAACTGAAGATATCAAAACCTTTTTTGGCTACCCTTTACCTCCACTAGCCACTACAGAAAGAGAGAGGCATTTGTAGGTCTTGTGTCATCCCTACCAGCCTCTTGTATCTATCTCCAGTATTCTAGGGCATCTCAGCTGGTTGGATAGAAGGAAGAAAGATACCTTCAGATACCTAAAATGACAATTAGAAATTCAGAGAACGTAGTCTTCATTTTATATTCAGGCTTCAGAAAAAAAACTTAACTGGAAAATCGCTGGTTTACCTCAAACTAGTGTCCTTTTATATATGGTTTAGGTTTCAGAAATGTAAATAAATAGCAATGTTGCAAGGTGGGATGGAAAAAATCAAATAATGAATGTCTGACATTTAAAGCCTTTATATAGCAACACTTGACTTGCTTTGAGGTTCTTCTGTGTGAGAAACTCTCCAGTGTTCCCTCTACATGCATCACCCTACCTCGGTATCTGTTAGCTATTGTGACTGTTTCTTACCAGTATCTATTCTTAAGCTTCCTGTCTGCACTCTTGTTACCTCTACTGGAAATGTCAAGCACTTTGGCTGGTGTCTTTTAGCAGATGCATTGTAAAATATACTGCCTTTACTGCTCTTAACTCTCTTCTCATATGCTGCTGAGTACAGATGGTGCTGAATACAGAGTGTTCCTTAGAACAAGAAAGATTTGCAATGTGGGACAGATTTTTAATTAATTTAAACTACAGGTGCTACGGAATACAATTATATTATTGAATTCAAATATGCTCATGTGATTTTAGCCTGCTTACAGACATCTAGCTAGATAGTATACTACTACCTCTTTTACCTACATGTTATTGACATAATCGTTTTCTGACTTCATTACTTGCTTGCCTATAAGAAAACTTAAACCCACATTGACCTCAGCAATCTATACATTAAGCCTTCAGTCTGAGGTGGCCACTTGATGGAGAGAGAGGGAGATACTTCCAGAATACTCTTCATCCCCTGGTCATGATCATCTGTGGTCTTTTACAAGTACCGATTTGCCTCCAGCTAAGGGATGTTTATGTGATGTGGTTAGTATAGCAGCCTAACTTGTCCACATGGGAACAGTTAGGTGACATGAAACATGCCCTTGGTTATTTGAAACTATTTCATAAAATGAACTCAGTCAAACATTTTTAGAGAATAGAAGGTTCTCATAGAAGAAAAAAGAAAAAAAAAAAGCATTTCTTCAATATGATTGTGAAATTGGTTTTATCCATAGGTCACAATGAAGATTATTGCCATGTCACCGTCTGGCTTCTGGCAAAGCAGAAGAAATCGATATGATCTCCTGGTGACGTCTCTTGGAGTTATATGGGTGATACTTCACTTTGCCTTACTGGTAAGATTTACAAACTCCAGTTTCAGTGATGAAGTTTGATTTTATCTGCACCAGCAGTAGGATCACTGCTATATATCCAGATAAACGCTTGGGAGTTTAATAAGGCTGAAATATGGCTGAAACTAATTAATCTTGATGCTAAGAAGAAGGAATCATTGTTCTGGGCAATGATGAAGTACAAAAGTTGTCTTACTGATATGAGGTAGAGTCTGTAAATGCAGAAAACTGAAGTCTTTAGGAGGGATGTGAGCCAGGAAAGGAAGGAATAGGAAGAGACTGAGAGATCTTGCTAACAGCATTCTCATGAGCATCAGGAAAGAAAGAGTCAATGCACAGAATCCAGGCAGGAGCAGAGGACTGGAAGAAGTAGGTTCAAAGTCCCTAAACAGTCCAATCTATCCCAAACCTAGCATGATGTAAAATAAGAAGGCATGGAAAGGGGAAGAAATCAGCTCTCCCTCCATCCTACCTCAGTTTTTTTAAATTTGGTTGCACCCCTGGTTCCCTTATTTATGAGGGAAGGAGAAGGGATAGTTGATACTTGTCATCAATCACAAGTTGTCGGTCACAACCCTATAATGGCTGCAGGCTTCTCTTTTGTCTGCACCAAGCTCTGTTTCGAGGAAAACTTGGCTTGCATGACTAGTCATTTTGCCCTGACAGTCACAGTTTGCTCCCTGCTGCTGAGTAGCGTGGAAGGCGTGAGGAGTTTCTGTAAGCCAGCAGCTGCCTAGAGAAGTAGACTGGGCTTGCTGGACATAATCGCAGCACAGCTAACAGAGAACTGAAGGGGGTTTTAATATGATGTGTGGGGAGGTTGGGTTATCATTTCTGAAGTGGTGAAGGATCTTCTGTTAGTTTTTTACCCCTCCACTGTTGTTGAAATGTTGATGCTACTGGTTTATAATTTCTCTTACGTTATATGGCGACTGCCCTACATTATTAAAAGACCAAATCTCATGGTCTTTTTGTGAGATCCCTGGGGGAATGTATTAAGTTGTTTGTGTTTCTGTTGCAGAATGCATACACATACATGATGGGGGCATGTGTAATTGTCTTCAGGTTTTTCTCCATTTGTGGGAAGCATGTAAGTACAAATTAGGAATTACAAACATTGCAGTGCTCATGTATAGATTAAAGGGCTAGTTGCTACACATCTGTAGTGCATATTCTGAAAGGCTTTATTTTATATGCCAAGAAAAGGGAGACTTCAAGCAGCAGTCTCCAATTTTACACAGTCTTTAAAATGTCAGGATTTGAAGTATATTGTATAATAGCCTTATATTATGGTTACTGGAAAAGCTGCATTTTTTTCCAAAAAAAAAGTGCAACTGTAATACCGTACAGTTTTTTTAAATGCTCTCTAAACCTCTGAATATACATTGTGCTACTTTCAGTCCTTGCCATTTCACTGTGTTGTGATGTGCATGGTATTTATTTATTTACTCTGCAAGACCCGTGGAGTGGTGGTTGATGCACTCATCTTGTTACAATAGTGCTCTCTTACAGAAGTTTCTTCCTCCAGAGTGCAAGTCTGTGTCTAACATCTCTACAAATGTATGTCTTACCACAGTAAAGGATTTATAGAATCATAGAATGCATTGGAGTGGAATGGACCTTTGAAGGTCATGTAGTCCAAACCCCCTGCAGTGAGCAGGGACATCTTTAACTAGATTGAGATGCTCAGAGCTCCATCAAGCCTGGCCTTGAATGTCTCCAGGGATGGGGCTTCCATCACCTCTTTGGGCAGCCTGTTCCAGTGTTTCACTGTCCTCATAGTAAAGAACTTCTTCCTAATGTCTAATCTTAATCTACCCTACTCTACTTTTAAACCATTGAGCCTCATCCTGTCACTACCGGTTCTTGTCAACAGTCCCTCCCCAGCTTTCCTGTAGGTCCCCTTCAGGTACAGGAAGCCTGCTATAAGGTCTCACCAGAGCCTTCTCTTCTCCAGGCTGAACAACCCCAACTGTCTCAGCCTGTCCTCATAGGAGAGGTGCTCCAGCCCTCTGATCATTTTTGTGTGCCTCCTCTAGACCCACTCCACCAGGTCCATGTCCTTCTTGTGCTGAATTTAAAAAAAATATTGGGCCAGGATATTCCTCTGATAACACTGGCATAGTGACAAAGCAAGGCACTTCTAAAGTTTAAATTTCTTTTTTGTTTGGATTTGTTCTGGTGTAATTGAGAGTAGGCTGGCAGATGAAGCATAGGCAGAGAACAAACACATTTGTTTAACAAGTGGTGACACTCTGCATTCTTTTGCTGTAGAACTTCTTACACTATTCAAACATTTTCTGTGAAGTCTGACATATTAAAGTAAATGTGATTAGAAGACTGCTGCACTAGGTTGCTGGGGTTAAGAACAGTAAGTCAGAAGGTGTATTCAGTAAAGATAAAAAGTTTTCTTTCAATCAAACTATACAGAGCTGCAGAGCCTTGGAAGTCAAATGAAAAATCCTTGCTTCTCCTGTGCAGCTAGATGAAGTGATTGCCTTCAAAGCTTTCTGATTGATTCTAAAGTTTTCTCAAGGTTTTAACCTCGTTGTTTGTGCTTTCATGTTAGGAACTGTATCAGTTTCACTAATTTGTCTGTTGTGATGCAATGTGATGACTGAAGTCAGCATGAATTATCAGTCTGGCATGATTCTAAAGAAAACTGCCACCCTCAGCCCTATTAAAGAGAATTTTCCATAGCATCCAAAATGGTTAAGGACAATAATTTTATCAAGAGTAAAATGTACAACATGCATGCATGAAACAGTAATGTCTATTATCTAGACCTGTGTAATTTCCAATATTGGGCTCTCTTCTTAAGCTCTTTGGACAACTTGCATGAGAAATTACTAGTTTAATCAAGCTGCACTGATCTTAACTAAATCCTCTTCTCTACACATAACCCATTCCTTTAGGTAGGTTGCAGTATCTGTGGTTTCCACCCAACAGTTAGCATTGTTTTCAGATAAGCCCAGAGTAGTTAGTTTACTGCACCACTGTTCATGCAATGCTAATTCTGCTGCTTCAGGAATATACTGATCCTAAATATTATAGTTAAGCTTATGCTGTATTATCCTCTGCTGTATTATCCTATATATATTCTTTGAGGAGCAACATCTGGACCTTGTAAATTAGGCGGATATGCTGATCTCTAACTAGTAAAAAGCACACTAAATTTCAGAGGAAGACACAAAATGTTCAGTTCCGATCAGACTCATAATGTGCCATTTCACCGGGCTTGTCTATTACCGTGCATGTGTAAAGGTTTCGTTGTCAAAATGGCAAATGCAATAACTTTCTTTTCCCTTTTATCTCTGCTTTCCTGAATGGTGCCATGGCTTGCTTTTTCTCTCTCCTTCCAGGTGACACTAAAAATGCTACTCCTGACTGTGGTTGTCAGCATGTACAAGAGTTTCTTCATCATAGTGGGAATGTTCTTATTGCTTCTTTGTTATGCTTTTGCTGGAGTGGTTTTATTTGGTACTGTGAAATATGGAGAAAACATTAACAGGTACAGTGTGTGCTACTACCTTATGGGGATGTTCTTTAAACAGCCCCCAAAAAAATCACATTCTGCCAGAAAGAAGTGTAGCCGTGGTAAAAGCTGGACAAGTCCCCACGTCTAGCTGATGAACTCTAGACAGAAGTTCTGATGGAAGACTCTGAGCCGTATTTCCAGTCCTCGTGCATTGCACCGGATTACACCCAATCCAGCCCAGAGCAGACTGAGAGCTGTTCTTGTTTGTGCCAGCTGCAACATGCTTCAGAGCAGCACTGTGCTGGCCGCATGCTGCTGAAACACAGCGTAGCTGCTACACCTTGCCAGGATCACCCAGAAGCAAGACTCATATAGGAGGCTGGTGCTGAGAAGGGACAGTTCTGTGAACTGGCAGTTAACTGGAGATTTCCCAGTCAATAGCCTTATCAGGCTTCAGGAGCAGAGAATGGAGGCAGCAGATAGGATCTGGCCTTGAGTCTGCTTTAGCTCTTTGATAAAATGAGCCAAAATACTCAGTCGTGTGTCTGAGCCAAAGTCCAGCTATTACATCTTAAGTCATGGAATAAATAATTCAACAAATAACAGTGTAACTGTTTTTAGTTTAAAATACTAGAACAGTAGAAAATGGAAAATACTTGCATTTTCTCTTTCTTACGTTTTAGTTCTGGGACATGAAGTGACCTCTCTCTCTCTCTCATTCTTGTTCTTTAAAACAGACATGCAAATTTTTCATCAGCTGGAAAGGCTATTACTGTACTCTTCAGAATAGTTACTGGAGAAGACTGGAACAAAATTATGCATGACTGCATGGTAAATACAATCCTGCCAGAGATAAAGTATGCAAGAAACAGGGGATACCCTTGCATCTCGGAGTGTTTCCAGAATCTCGGTTGTACAAGGAATTATGTGATTGTCTTTGTCTCTTCAAGAGATATGTTTGCTAAAGCTCAGAACATCACACACAAATTGCAGTTCCAATCACACACTCACAGTAGAATATTTAATGGGACTAGGTTACTACATGATTTTAAATCAAAAATAAAAAAATGTTTTCAAAACCTCAAGTGCAGTAATTCACTTTTCCACTGTTATCTCTGCTTTAACTGAGGCAAGGTGACTTTTCAGATTAACTTTGACTTTAATGCCTACACTTTGGCTCATTCTGTGTGAGCAGGAGTCTTAATGACTTCAAAATTTATCCTTGAATTATTATATTTTGCTCAAGTAAATTTCCATCTGTGGTTTCCATTGTCATGAAAATCACACTCCCTTTTTAAAACTGCTGGGCAGGGAAGCTTTTTGAAAACTGCCATTTTTTAGAGCACCAAGTTGTTTCTTTACAGTGCCATAATCCACAATGTGCCTTAGTTGTGTTGGTGAGATCCGAGATCCATACCTAGGCCTCTTTTTGTCATACCTCTCTGGTTTCTGATTTCTAACTATTAAAGGAACAACCAAAAATACCGCCCACAGTACTGCCCAGAGTATTATTCCCTAATTGGGAAATTTTAAAGAAATAGTATTGTATTGATTGCAGAGAAATTGAGAATCTCTTCTTTTGATTGATTGACTTTGTTTTCTTTTGGTTTGAAGGTTCAGCCTCCGTTTTGTACGCCAGATAACAGCACCTACTGGAAAACAGACTGTGGAAATTATGCTGGTGCTCTTATGTATTTCTGTTCATTTTATGTCATCATTGCATACATCATGCTAAATTTGCTTGTTGGTAAGTGAAAATATACATGAATAACGAAAAGGCCCATCTTGGCATGTAGCGTGTCAGATGTGAGTCTGTTGTGTTATTCAGGTATGAGGTTATCTTTTACCTCTACTGTTACTTTATATGCATGTGATGTTTTTGATACTTCTCTGGCACAATGCATGCTAAAACTCAGGGAGTTTGGGAATTAAAGTTTTTTGAACAAAGAGATGTGTTGTATTGTTACCCTAAGAAATAGTATTTTCTGAGTTTTTCCTTCCTTCAGTTACATTTTTCCCATATCAGTGGAATTCATGTAACTGATCTGAGATGTTAGACATCTCACCAGCATTTAACATACAGCTTTTTAAAAGTCAGCACTGTGAATACAGATGTACCATGACAGTATATTAGCCCTTCAAAATCCGTCTCTGAACATGCAGCTGAAGACATTTGTTAATGTGAAATTTGCACAACAGAATTCATATTCTATTGAAATTCATTGTTGCTTGTAGATGTTAACCAGTTAGAATGTAACTATAGGCTTTCTTTATTGTCTGTTTTGGTTTTGTTTTCAGCTATAATTGTGGAAAATTTCTCATTGTTTTACTCAACTGAAGAAGACCAACTTTTAAGTTATAATGATCTTAGGCATTTTCAAATTATATGGAACATGGTTGATGACAAAAGAGAGGTAAGGAACTTAATGATGAGCACCAAAATCCAGTAAATTTACATTTTTTTGCATGATGAAATGTACGGGGGAAAAAAAAAGTGAGCTGGCAGAACTCACTGAGCAGTTACTGTTTGAGTTTTAAAGTTCAGTGAGCATGATCTAACATTGTTCATGGCCCTTCAGTACTAACCTGTATTCTTTACTACTGTGAAGTACTTACAATAGTAGATTTAAAAATGAATATAGATATTCATAAGATCAATACAGTAGCATCTTTCCTCCCATCTCCTTGAGAGTGGTTCCCCTAGAAGTCTACAAACTTAAATCCATTTGTGTGTCTGATCTTCAGAAGAGCTTTGCTGAGATTTTGACACTGTCTCAGTACTGGAGACAGTGCCTGTCGGGAGCCCAGGTGCCTGCCAAAGCCGCTGTATCACTTCCCATCCTTAGATGGACAAGGGAGAGGAAAATATAATGAAAGGCTCATGGCTTGAGATAAGAACAGGGACATCACTCAGCAGTTACCACAATACCAAAAGAGATCTGATTTGGGGAAATTAATTTAATTTATTGCAAATAGATTCAGAGAAGGGCAATGACAAATAAAGCCAAATCTTAAAAAAAACCACCTTCCCCCACCCCTCTCTTCTTCCGGGACTTAACTTTATTCCTGATTTTTCTACCTCCTTTGCCTGGTTGGCACAGAGGAATGGATAGTAGGGGTTGCAGTCAGCTCCTTCGATGTTATCTCTGCTGCTCCCTCCTCCTCAGGGAGAGAACGACTCATACTCTTCCATTGCTCCAGAATGGGAAATACTTCTTCACAAAGTGCTCCGATGTGAGTCCTTTACATGGGTTCCAGTCCTTAAGGACTTTCACATATTCATAGCATCATATAATGTCTTGGGCTGGAAGGGACCTTTAAAGGTCATCTAGTCCAACCCCACTGCAGTGAGCAGGGACATCTTTAACTAGATCAGGTTACTCAGAGCCCCGTCAAAGCCTGGCCCTGAATATATCCAGGGCTGGAGTCTTCACCACCTCTCTAGGCAATCTGTTTCAGCATTTCACTGTTATCATTGTAAAGAACTTTTTTCTAATAGCTAATCTAAATCTACCCTGCTCTAATTTCAAACCGTTGCCCCTTGTCCTGTCGCTACACACCATTGTGAACAGTCCCTCACTGCTTTCTCTGCCTGCCATTCCACGATAACTTTTCTCCCAGCTTCTTAAATACACTTGTAGAAGCTTCTCACAGAAGCAACCCTGTAGGCCCACTTACTCCAAAACCTGGCCATGCAAACCCAATACATCCTCAGAGAGAAACTAATGAAGTATGGACTGGATGAGGAAATTATGAAGAACACTGAAAACTGGCTGAATGACCAGGCACAGAGGATGACAATCAGCAGCATGGATTCTAGTTGGAGGCCGGTAACTAGTTGTGTACCCCAAGAGTCAACATTGTGTCCAGTCCCATTCAACATCTTCATTAATGACATGGATGATGAGGCACAGTGTACCCTAGGCAAGTTTGCAGATGGCACCAGACAGGAAGGAGTGGCTGATACAGCAGAGGGTTTCCTGCCATCCAGAGGACCTGAACAGGCTGCAGAAATGGGATGACAGGAACCTCATGTGGTTCAGCAAGGGGAAGTGCAAAGTGCTGCACCTAGGGAAGAACAATCCCAGGCACCAGTACGTGCTGAGAGCTGACCAGCTGGAAAGCAGCTTGGCAGGCAAAGACCTGGGAGTCCTGCTGGACACCAAGTTGAACATGAGCCAGCAACGTGCCCTTGAGGCAGAGAAGGCTAATGGTAACCCCAGGCTGCATTAGGCAAAGTGTTGCCAGCAGGCCAATGGAGGTGATCCTTCCCCTCTACTCAACACTGGTGAGGCCACACCTGAAGTCCTCGGTCCAGTTCTGGGTTCCTCTGTACAATAGATATAGACATACTGGAAAGAGTCCAGCAAAGGGACATGAAGATGATGAAGGGAACAGAGCATGTCTCCTGTGAGGAAAGGCTGAGAGAGCTGGTACTGTTCAGTCTGGAGAAGACTGAAGAGGATCTCATCAATGTGTCTGAATACCTGAAGGGAGAGTGCAAAGAGGACAGAGCCAGGCTCTGCTCAGGGGTGCCCAGTGACAGGACCAGAGGCAGTGGGCACAAGCTGAAACACAGGAAGTTCGCTCTGAACATCAAGAAAGACTTTTTTCAAAGTAACTGAGCACTCACACAGGTTACCCAGGGAGGTTGTGGAGTCTCTATCCTTGGAGATATTCAAAAGCCATATGGACATCATTCTGTGAAATTTGCTTTAGGAAGCCCTATTTAATTGAAGGATGTCAGACAAAGAGACCTCCAGAGGTTGCTTCCAACCTCAATCATTTCATGATCCTCAGATGAAAAGAGCATCTGGGAGACTGAGCTGTTCGGATGCCCACACAACTTAAATCATCGTCTGAATGATTCATATTTGTAGAATCATAGAATCATTCAGGTTACAAAAGACCCTTGGGATCAACTACAACCATTAACCCTACTCTACCAAGCTCACCCCTAAACCATATCCCCAACACCACATCTAAATGAACTTTAAACACATCCAGGGATGCTGACTCAACCACCTCCCTGGGCAGCCTGTTCAAATATCTGTCTACTCTTTCTGTGAAAATTTTTTTCCTAATGTCCAGTCTGAAACTATCCTGTTGCAGTTTGAAGCCATTGCCTCTTGTTCTATCACTAATTGACTGTGAGAAGAGACCAGCACCAACCTCTCTACAATGTCCTTTCGGGTAGTTGTAGAGAGTGATGAGGTCTTCCCTCAGCCTTCTTCAAACTAAACACTAAGATTTGAATATGAACAACATTGTAGTGAAAGTAGTTGGTAGCTTGTAGCTGACACGTGACTGTGCTGGAGATGGAAGCCAGTGACCTTACTGTACTGATGGAGGTGGAGAATTCTGCATCCATTGTGTCCAGCACTGATAGTATCTGTCTCTGATGTGAAATAACACACTACAGCAAAAATAGTTCCAGTCAGGCTCATTTAGCAGAACAAAATGTTTAAAGAGCATGGATACCACAGTTTCAGAGAGAAATACTTTCAGACCTTATTTTTTCAACAGCAGATTGAAATTGTTGTAATGAGAAGTACAAAATCTGCTAGGTTGACCGTTAGAGCAGAAGACCTTTGAAAACAGTAAACTCCCAACATTCTCCTGTCCCAAAATGCACAGAGAAGGGGACAGGTTTACAGCCAGGGACAGGCCTGGCTGTGTGTCCTGGTTTGAGGGCACCTGGAGAAAAGCTCTCTGAAGCTTCTACAGAGGTGACAGTTGGAATAGGAAGGAGGGGCAGCTGTGGCTATGGGAAGGAGAGGAGGGGCCAAATGGAGGGACCCAAACGGATGAATCACAGTGTTCTTTCCCGTGGTGCTCAGTATAAAGGGCCCCCTAAGAAGAGCCCTGTGGCCTTTAGTGTTTGCTGTGCTGGAGGGATTGTCATTGGTGATTTGTCACTCTGCCTGGGCTACTGGTGTTGCCACCTCCTGTTTTCATGCTCTAGAGGAGCACCGTGCACCAAGATGGGTTGTCTCCCCCCACCTCCCTGAGTGGGAGTGGTGCAGATGCTCCAAGGATTCCTGTTTTGGTTTTTCTGGAGTGTCGTTGGGACTCTGGGCTCTGCTGCCGAGTCCAGTCTGGGACTTTTCTGCTTGAGACCTAGTTGTTATCTGGAGGATGCGTGTTCCATATTAACATATTCTCTTGTATCTTTGAATATATTTGTTTACTTGTATAATATCTGTATATAGTTCAAAATTTTCATTGTGATTGTTAATTTTTTTTTATTTTCTTTTTCATCAAACTGGTTCAAGGTTTTTTTCAACCTTGGAGTCCCTCTCCCTGGTTCCCCTGTTATCCTCCCCTGGGAAAGTGGGGGAGTATCAGAGAGAGTGTCTGTCAAAGTTTAGTGACCAGCCCAGCCTTAAACTTTGACACTGTGAGTGTTTAAACTGTAGTTTAATTTCAGTTTTTCAAAGGCAGCTCTTTGGGCATATAATTCTCATTATGAGTTAATGCAAATGGGGAAACTAAATCCCCAAGCAATATTGAAAATTTCTGGCAAAATTAACAGCATGGATTTTCATCGTATATCAGTCAAATAACAGCAAAGACTTCTGTGAATGTGCTGAAGAGGTGGCTGCATGTATATGTTCTTCAGTAATGTATTCACAGTGACTTGAATAGGCCAAGATTTGACACAGTCTTTGGAGAAATGATGTTTCTCTTGCTGATCAAGCTGAATGTCTGAGTTGACTGTTAGGTCACAGTGATAATTTGCCATCTATTATGCAATTTTACCCAGGGAGTCATCCCTTCCTTCCGAGTGAAATTTCTACTGAGGCTTCTGCGGGGCAGGCTGGAGGTAGATCTCGACAAGGATAAGCTGCTGTTCAAGCACATGTGCTATGAAATGGAACGGCTCCATAATGGCGGTGATGTCACTTTCCATGATGTGCTCAGGTACTCTTGAGATTTTTCTCTAAATTCATACAACGGGTATAATGGCCTGCCTGTGTTTCTCTCCAGGCTAACAGATGTTCATTAGGCTTGGGAAAAGGCAAGACTGGTAGCCACAGGGGAACTGCAATTTTAAATGTAATACAAAAATTAAATTTCCCTTTGTTTCCTGCAAAAATTATAGTGATGGAAAAAACAAGTCCTAGGGAATCGGCTGTAAGTAATTTTAGTGTTTTCATTGGAGACAGTTTGTCATAAACAGCAGTCAAGCATCATTCTTGTATCCCAAGCCATGAAATGTTGTCCCCACATGGGCAGCAACATGACAGTGAATCTGACTAGAAATAAAATAGAAATGGGAACATTATCCAAGCGTAAACACTTTGGGGGAAAAAAAACAACAGAATAACTGACCACAAATGCCCTAGTTGCTTACAGTTCAGCAACTGTATTGGATAGCTAGATGTAGCTGATAAGGTCCTAATTTGTTTTGAGCACCAGAAGTCTCTTCTGAAATAATCTCTGTATTTTTTAACTTCAAATGTAATTTTATTGCACACACCTGAATTACTTATTTTTGCACCAAGATCTTAAGGATGAGGTTTTATTTTCTAAGCTAAAAAGTAAATTATCAGAATTTTAAAAAGCTAAAAAAAAAAATCTATGTTTCTTCCAGCATGCTTTCCTATAGGTCTGTTGATATCAGAAAAAGTCTTCAGCTGGAAGAGCTGCTTGCTAGGGAACAACTGGAATATACCATAGAGGAGGAGGTGGCCAAGCAGACCATACGAATGTGGCTGAAGAAGTGCTTAAAACGAATTAGAGCAGTAAGTCAAGCTAAACCAGGATCTGAATGGTTGCAGAAATTGTACTGCTCCACAGTGCTGCAATTTGCTGTCACTGCGCTTCGTTTACTCTGGAGTCACGATAATATTTGTGTGAAGTATGTAGCAGTTGCTAACTCAGCAAATTAATACAAAGTATGTTACAACTCAATTGAAAGCACTACAAAAATGAGCATTCTTTGAAGGCAAAATCTTCTTGCCAAAAATTTATCTGTCTTTTCAATATAGCAGGAAGTTGCATGTGCAGAAAGGAGTCAAAGGAATAAAGAATAAACAATGTAATTTGATAAAACTCCATAGGCTTAATCGTTCCTCACAGAATGTAATTGTGTAGTTTCCTTGCCTCTGCTGGTGGGAAGATGATCAGTCACCAGCAGATGACTCTTCAAATGGGACCTGTATCAAAATGCATCATTTGAAAGAACCATTACTTCCATTTTTAGGAGGCCGGTGTGCTCAGTCAGTTGAGTGTGGCGCTAACAGCGCTAAGGTCATGGGTTCGATTCCTGTCCGGTCCCCATGTGTTGCCTGATCTAGTCGAGAGGTGGTGTCTGTGGCGGCAGGGAGGCTGGATTAAATGATCTCTAAGGTCCCTTCCAGCCTAGGCCATTCTATGATTCTGTGATTGCAGTAACTGCGTGTGCAAATGAGCAGTGTGTACCTGCAAATCAGGTTTGTGATCTGTGGCACACAACAGCTGTGTCTAAGCTGATGAGTTAAGCAGGGCCAGGGCATTGGCCCAGAACTGGGCTGGTGTCACCCACACTCATTAGCATGTTCCTTGGCACAGTGCTGGCCCGTGCATGCTCAAACTCCCCCAGACCACAGCTCTAGGAATATCACTGTCCTCCTCCAGGCAGAGGTCAGGGTGGGGACTGTTTCCAGTAGGTAGTGGCTGAGGCTGTCCTGTGTGGTGGAGGGGAGATTATCCAAATCATTCAAGCCCTGTCATTTGGTTTCCACACCCCAGGAAATCCCAGTCTCTCTAACTCACTGATTCCCACCTGGCCAGTGCTTCTGTATTCTGTTTGTACGGTGCTTCTGGCTGTCACAAGTATTTATGCCTTTGCTCTGGATAGCTACAATATGTGCTGATGGAAGTTTGTCTTGGATGAAATTTATATTTAAAAAAATTTGGGAAATTAGAATTAGGCTTTGCAGTTACTCTCCTCTTTTCTTCCGAAAAGTCACAACCTGGTTGCCTTGATGACTGATTTTTCGCTTACTGTAAGGCCAAGTCCAGGTTTTGAAACATGGGGGGGTTTTTTATTTTTATAAAAGCTTGCTTCTTGTGAGTGGAGGTTTCCACAGAGATCTGTGATCCTGAGATCTGGCTTTTTCTCTTTGTGAATTTATAAAAAAACATAACTGGACAATTTGAGTGTAATGTGCATTCCAGCTGAAACTTCAAGGCATATTCAGACAGATAGTTTCATTTTGCTGTCATCTCTGTAATAATAATGGCAGTAAATTTAATCTCAGCTTGCAATTCTGGGTTTGTTCAACTCTGTTGTTCATTTCATTGTGATATTGAATTACACTATGTTAAAGTAAATATGCTATTCATTTCACTCTAATAATATGGTTCAGATCATTTCACATTATATGAACCTTTTATAAACTGAATGTAATTATGGAAGTTAATATATATTTTCAAATTCTCTTGTTAGTCTCTAAGTCTCTCTGGAGGGAGCATGTGAAAACTACCCAGGAAAGTGAAACCCTTCCTAAGGGCTGTTTATTTTAATTCAAAAGCAAATTAGATTGTAAGATCATAATGGTAGTGGTTTTGTTTTTCTATTTGCACTGTAAATCTGTACTCAGTCCCAAGGTTTCCACTACTGTTTTACTCAGTCTTACTAACAGCCTGTTCCAAAGACCATGAAAGAAACCCGATTTTTTCATTGCCTTCATGCAATTCTTACTGAGTGTCTACCAATTTCTGTGTTTCTTTCTCTTTGCAAGAACTTTTAACTCATGAATTCATAACTTTATATGATTTTAAACTCTAGGTTTAAACCAGGAGTTGAGCAGCTTGCCTTCCACTTAATACAGTTTATAAGTTTCATTCTCTATTCTCTACAAAGGTTAAACATATGCTGGAAGTCACTTCATTTAGATAATGACCATCTGATACATGTAGCTTTATTGATGCACCTGATATCCACATCTGGCACTCACTGCTCAGTTACATATTTAGGAGGTTTTTTAAAAAAAAAATCAAGCACTGTGACATACCAATGAGAATATTTTTGTTGTCGTGTATTGTACCTTGCTAGAAACAACAGCAGTCATGCAGCATTATCCATAGTCTACGAGAGAGTCAACAGCAGGAGTTGAGCCGATTTCTGAATCCTCCCAGCATTGAGACAACACAGCCAAGTGAAGATATGAATGCCATTAATCAGGATAACAGTGCACAGCCAGAGGTATGTTAACCAGAAAACTATCAGCTACTCAAAAAAAATACAGAAAACTTCCATGTTTCTTATTTGTTCTTTTTTAAACATCTTTTTAACTGGAAAAAGTTGAAAGCAATATCTTGTTTTGCTTCAGTCTTTGTCTTCAGATGTAAAGGTGAGATGGGCAGTAATTTCCCAACGTAGCTGTCTTGCCAGCACCATAAAGGGCAAACTCAGTTGTATGAGAGCACCAGCTTTCAGCTCTAGCATGAGCTGTGTATGTCCTCAAGAACGTGAAGATCTCTTGTTCAAGCATTCTGAAGTAGTGTTTATGCTGAGAACAGCAACACTGGGCGTGCTGGGGTCGTCCGAGTAGGAGTCTTGGGCTCTTCCAGGATAGGAAATGAAGAAGAGACAACATAAAAACTCTGCCATGGAAGGCTGAGACCTATTTTGTAACCTTCAATGGAACTGTACGATGGAATCAAGCCCAAATTGTCCTTTTATTTTTTTATGTTATTAGTTGTTTTCTGGGGCAGTAAAGAATAAAAATCATGCTGCCTTAACAAATGGCAGTGTGTTTTGTTTGTATTTGTGTACAGAGCTTGGAAATAGAAAGATAGCCTTTCTTAGGATTGTACCCATGCAATGGGGAACTATGACTGAGATTCTTTTTTTCTCTATTCAGACAAGTAGCCAGCAGCAGCTCCTTAGCCCAACACTTTCTGACAGAGGTGGTTATCGACAAGATTCTGCAGATGCTGGGAAGCCTCAGCGGAAATTTGGACAATGGCGTTTGCCGTCGGGTAAGTTAATAACGTGTATCAGGAGAGCCTCCGCATGCCAAATCCCTGCTGTGCAATAAGAAGGCCACAAGAGGCTTCAAGATTCACATTGCTGCTTGCCCCCACATCAGGGTTTTTGTAACCTCATGCATGATAAAGTAGAGCAAACTCTCCCTTTCCTCTGAGTTCTGAAAGTTTGGAGGATGGGCTCAAGCAATACCATGAGCAGGTGGTTGGGTTTTTTACTTTTTCACACATTTGCTCAGGATCCTTGGATTGGAGGCTGTACCATCCCATATGTTTGGATAGCATCTTGTGCATTTAGAGTTCGCTTTCATCATCTAAAGCACAGTGAAAATGAATGAAGTTGCTCCTAACAGCAGTAATAACTTCCAAGTGCCTTCTCCTGTTTAAGCTTACCAAGGCATGTGATTTGTACCTTACACAACAATAATACATTTTTATATCCTAACTTCTGCCAAGAATTGGCCAGGTGTACAGTTAGTTTCTTGTTTATTTTTTTCAGAACGAGGAAACGTTCTCAAGTTATTCTAGTACTTGTAGTCCACTGGAAAAGAAAGGCTACACTATGCCTTATAGGAGGGTGCTTACAGGAAGGTGGGAGAGGTGCGTAGATACAGCCTGAGGCCTTATTAAGTCTTTATCTAAAGAGCACTCTCCACTCCCTATATGGACCTCTGCTGCCTGCCATAGTCATGACTCGCAGGTGAGGTGTGTGCACATCAACTGTCACCGGTCAGTCCTACTCTGAGTCAGAACGTTGCCTTCAAATGCTGCTACTGGTCAGGGCCTAATCATATCTAGGTGAATGTAGGAGAAATGGTCATGCAAGGAGTACCATTAACCCTACATTTGTGACCAAAGTACTTGTCCAAGGAACAGGACAGCATAACAGAGAGCTTTCAGTTCATGTTTTCTACTGCCACTGAGCGGCAAAGATCAACATTTAATTGGAACAGAAAGAATAAAAGAAGAGTGGTAAGGAGGAATTGTACTACTGTAGCCAACTGGGCGGGTTTTTCAAGTGAGAATTAGGAGTTCAGAGTTTCCTTTCTTAACATTGACCTTGGCCACGTCAATCTTGAATGTTCCTTAGAGGACAGTGCCAGAAAAAGAGGATCACCTCCATGCACAGTACAGCCTAGCAGATGGTAAGTAGTCTGCCTCCAATCCAACAAAGATGTGTATTTGCGGTAATGAATAGCATCAGTTGTGGGTTTTATATACTTACACACGTGTCTTAGTGCTTTTCTGAAGTCACACCAACACAATGTGCTGGCTTCCACCCCTAGGTTATAGTTAAATATCACTTTCTAGGTGTAGCTGCCACCTGTAAATGCACTTTTCCCTCCCTATTTCGGGCACTTACCCCTTTCACCGTTTTGCCAGCAGGTCAGATCATGTCAGTACTGCCTAAATCATTTAGGTTGCAATTAGCCAGGTAAGAAGAGATCTATTGGATCAGCTGTGCCAGCAGAAGGAATGAGGCACTGCTCAGTTAAACTGCTCTGCCAGCATATTAGTGGGAGCATTCTGAACAGCTGAAGCTGAAAAAAAACCACAACACAATAGAACAGAGCCCTACTCCTTCTGCATTAAGTCAGTTAAAAGCTGCCTTAGTCCAGCTAATTCTGTATCCTTGAATTCTAAGCAAAACATGTTCAAGATGCATATCTACTCTAATACAGAACTTGTTTAATTTCACAGCCCCCAAGCCAATAAGCCATTCAGTGTCTTCAGTCAACCTTCGCTTTGGTGGACGTTCAACTATGAAATCTGTTGTATGCAAAATGAATCCCATGTCTGATGCTACTTCTTGTGGATCAGAAGTCAAGAAATGGTGGACAAGGCAATTAACTGTGGAGAGTGATGAGAGTGGAGAGGACCTCCTTGATATCTGAGAAAAATTTATGTCACTCTGCAACAACAACCACTTCAAGTACAATCTAATTTTCTATGTTTAGAATTGAAGACACTCTGTGATGTATGATTTCCTTTAAGTCAGTGTCATAAATATTTTTCAAATGCTTATCCTTCTGCCATGTGAAGCATAACACACATTTATATGTTAGAATTCACCTCTATGGGTACTAACTGTACTTTAAGAAAGCTGTATACAATATCAGTACCAACAAAGCCAGAGAGACTGTGTTGCCTTTAGCAGACAGAGCATTGAAAGATTTCATATGTTCTGTAGCTGCATAAGGGAAGTGTATTTTGATACACACACCTCTGTGATTTTCTTCAACCTATATCATACTTCAAAGTGACAACACTTTAAAATATTGAGGTAGTCTATTTCTTCTTTTTATGTTTTCCCTCAGTTCTTACTTAGTAGTATTTCTTTAGGAGGATTTTATTACTCACAAATGACCTGAAGAGGTCAGCACTGACTTCGTGTTCAAGGGAAGTATTTTTACAAAATACAGATTCTGAATTACGATTCTAAGCTTTTTCTGGACCTTTTTTTAAAATATGCAAGATACAGGATAACTCATTTTAAAATCAGAAGGTGAAAGATTGGCTTTTAAAATGTAAATATGTTTAGGTTTTGGTTAATTATGCAAAGAGCTTGATTTTCGTAGAGAAAATGGGGGGAAAAGGAAAAAAAAAGATGTGAAAACTGTGCATTTAAGCATCCAGCAAAAGACCTTCTTGTGAAAACCATGGTTTACACTTCATTTTCAGAAGATACTGGTTACATATGTGTAGTGTCATTATTCTCCTGTTACTTGCATCCCATTTCCTTGTGTAGTCCTAAGATAACTTTCTTCTTGTCTGTGTGATAAAAAATAGCATGTCGGAGGTTCTAATTACAGAGTAGTATTGTATGGCTTTTAAAATCCAGTTGAGTTTTGCCTTTACTAGGTAGAAGTGAATTTTACTTACCCATGTTACTACTCATGCTACAGCCCTGCAAAGCTGAGGCATGACACTGTATTGTGGTTAAGTACCTTCGTCGTTTTCATCCTAGTGTATCATATTTTGATGTTAGCCGCCTTTTATTTTATGAAGCACCAACAGTGCTGCATATTATTGCTGGTGAAAAAGCAGCTACCCCTTTCATAATTTTTTTTTCCCAGTGAAAGGCCAACGCTATAAAGGTGCAAAGGTGGAGAAGAAAAGCTGCAAAACGCAGCAAAGTTTGTTAGTTTCAGAATTTAAGACTTGCTGAAAATGTGAATTAAAAACGTGCCCTTCCCTCTGGGAAGAACTAAGAGGTTGCAGATTTTTCTAGCTTGGCCCCCGACTGGATTTTTTTAGTGTGGACCTGTTACCTTTGTTTCCTATGGAAATGATAGGTTGTTCTAACATGGCCTGATGTGAGATCTTGTGAGAGGCTCACAATGTACATCACCACTTAAAAAAAATATATCCTTTAAAAAGCAGACAAAAGCCAGTGTTGTGATGTTTTCTGGTCGAAATATTGATGTAGAGTGGCCAGAATACAGCATTGTTTTCACAGATGCCTTCATCACAAACACAAAATTGGTTTTGGCCATAAAACGCAGTTTTCTTGGCATCTGTCAATGTTTTGTTCCCTGTGTATGGTTGAACATAGTTTATATTTTTTGAATATACTCATATTGAAAACATCTGTATTTTGTGGTTTCTTTATGTGTTTTAGGGTATATTTAAGTTTAAGTCTAGTCAACTGTAACTGTAGTAACAGAACGTGTGCATTCTCGCTTTTACTAGATTATGTACTATCAACAAAACTTCATATGCAAATCCATTATTTTGTGTTCTGTTTTGTGCTTGTTTAAACTGAGCTTTTATAAATATGACAAAAAGATTGATATTGGATTTATAAAAGATAGTATCTTTGAAAGTTCAATAATATATTGAACTGCAGGTCTTTCTGAATCATTCTTGCTGCAAATCTTCTTTTTAAAAATCAGGCAAACATTTTTTTCCCTTGCCTTACGATACTCTGTCAATAAAAGTGAGTTGCTTTAAGCAATATTCCTCCTTCTGGTTTTCATTTTAACTACATTCACTATATCTGGCTCATCTGTGATCATGCTATGTAGAGGCTAGGTGTGTGCTTTGTATGGGATTATTTTAAGAGATGCTTTCATACTCTTCTGGTTGGAAGGCCTTTGGTGTTTTGTGAGAAGTCCAGCAACTGGCCTCATCAGTACTGCCACGAGGAGTCTCATTCAAAGAATGGAACTAAATAAGACTGTTCATTATTTATTTTTATTTAACTCACTCTCTTTCTTTGCTTTAGAGTCTGAATGTGAATATTTTTGTGTGTGTGTGTGATGGAGAAATTTGTGGTGGAAACATCGTAATGATTTCATAGACTGCCTTCCAATATCTTCCAAAATGCTGGAGACCTCTAATTTAGATCATCTAATTTAACTGGCAAGCTGGCTTTGAGAAAGCAGTGCTTGCCTGTTTATTCCCTCATTTTAATTTTGCAGTAACAGGAAGTGAAATGGAGTTACAAAGATATCAAAGTAGTATATTGTAGAGCATCCAGGCAACTAGGTCAACTGTGTTTAGTATGGCACCTCCGACACAGCCAAAGAAAGTGACAACCTCCTACTCTGCAGCAGAGCAACCAGTGCACATTTTTGCACATGACGGTGAAGAGGCAGAGAAGAGAGCTGAAGGATGACTGAAGTTCAAACAGCCTGCACAAACAACGGGGAGACACAAAGAGGAAATATTGCATCAGGAAATCAGAGGCAGCAGAGACAGCCTGAGAGAAAGGTTCAGACAAGAACAGACCATAGGCAAAGGCAAACAAAAAATTGCCAGGGGAATACTACTACCTGCAGTGCTCTTGGCTTCTGGAATTAAATCCAAAATTGTCCTAGACAAATGAAAGGAAGTATTGAGAGTCTTTTGTGCACTAGGAGAGCTCTGTTCCATAGAAAACAAATTGTAAAAGTCTTCTTGGCTTGGATGGGCAAGAAGTCTACTCCATGTTGTCAGTGCTGGAATAAAAAAACAATTTTTGGGAAATCTGAGAACATGCAGCAAAGTTGTCTCTCAATATTGTTCCAAAGTCAGGTTAGATTTCCAACAGTCGCTTTTGCAATGAGGAAAGTAATAACCTGAAACCATTTGTTACTGGAAGATATCCAACTGAATTAAGAGCTAAAAACATAAAGTTCACTTTCATCTAGCAAGCTGAAAATACCATCATTGTTTTAACTAATGAGGACCAATCAGGCTTAAACATCTTCAAAATAACATTAGGTTCAGTATTGCCAGCATCAGAGCTGCTGAGAAGCCAGAGATTTAGATGCCAAAAGCAAGTCAATGACTTTGTGAGAATAAGCTTTTATTCACGCTGTGCCCACAGCTCTTGTTCTTGTGCAGATATGGATGTCCATAAATAACTGTAGGAGGAGAATACTTTGCACTGTTGTAACATTACATTTGGAGACCCAGCAAGCAAGATGTGTGCTCAACCTCCCATCCAGGAATGCATGCTCCTTTTGCAACATTTCCACAAGTGAAAACAAACACAACACTGTCCTGAGTTGTCAGTCAAAATTAACAATGGGATTATCTCAGTCTCCCCAAATTTTGCTCTAGGAGGCTAAATGCATTTCTTTCTGTTGACAGCAGTTTGGTCACACCGCAGATCGGCTTGCTGCAATGCATAGGCTGATGCTGGGAAGTTGGCTGCCCTGGTTTGTCCGATTGCTCTGCAGCACAAAGGGAGCCTCACCAGAACTCAATTAACCTTCCTCTTCATCCCAAGGGGCTAGTGTCGGACCCCATTAGCAGCTGTTGCCCATTGTCCTCCATAAAGAACCTCTAAGCACCAAGTTATTAACCCATCGGTGAGCTAAGAGTACAGGCAGTGACATTTTATCCCGCTTCCACAGGTTCCTGCCCCAGATACTTATTCGAGTACCCTTACTGGTTTCATGCTTCTACCTGACTTACATATCTGCACTGGGGAATTTTGGTAAATTACTTGGGCATCTACAAGTGTGTTTCATAAAAGCGTAGCTTACTTGAAAGGCAGGAAATGTCTTAAGTAAAGGTAGAAAAGGAGAAAAAAACAAAACAACTATCCATCAGCCAGAAGAGCTGTTGACAGTAGCCTTTTCTTCTTTCTGAATTCAAGAAGCAGTCACCAGTAGCATGAGCCTTCCATGTGTCTCAGTGGGCATCACATTGTTTCAGTAAAACTTCTGCTGAGGTTGGAAACAAATTGGTTTATACCAGACAGACATCAGTGAGACCTGGGTGAGCAAGCTCTAATTGGATCCTGCATATGATGTGAGTCACTGCGACGGGATTACTGTCTGCGAGTACATTTATCCACAAAGGGAAGAGGAGAGGATCGGTCCTTGAGTTTGCCAAATAAACTGGATGTCACATCCTCTCTCATGCCAGGTATTCTGGTTTTCTTTTAGATTTTGGTCTCCAGTTGCATGTAAGGCAGACAGTGCCTTGGCATGTCATTCAGTCTAAATATGTGGTCCCAAGAAATGGGGATTAAATAGTTACGATTTCATTATGACACATCTGATGCCAGTTTATAAGAGTAATGAGCCTTGCTTTTTTGTCTCAGCACCCATGATGCAGAACTACATGTTTCACAGATCGGATACTTTCAGTTTTAGATTTTCTAAATTCTTACTGCCTGGGGTTTCTGTTTACTGCACATTTTAAAACAAGGGAAAAAGAAAGAAAAAGGAGGAAAGGGGGAGAGAGAGAAAGAGAGAATGAGAGAAAGAAGGAGCAAAGAGAAAGAGAAAGGAAGAGGAAGAGGAAGAAAGAAGAGAATGAGAATGAGAGATTGAGAGAAAGAGAAAGAAAAAAGGAAAAGGAAAGGGGAAAAAAAAGAAAAAAAAACGAAAAGAAAATGGGAAAAAAAGAAAAAGCGAGAAAAAGGATTTACCTGAGTGTTAGATTTTGTGGGATT